GTAGTACCTGAAAGTTGACAATTTGGTATCTTTGATGGGCTGTAAGAAGAAGTCATGATAGTACATATATGCACTCACCTTTTGTTTAGTTGAGTGACTTTATCACTGCCTACTGTAAACCAAGATATGTAAGAGATGAATAAAGGTTGCTTTCTACACACCAAGTTCAAATTTGTACAGGAGATCAGGCACAAACATTGTGTGGAAGTCAAAACTGTAGGGTAATAAAAGAGAGAATGTATTCTATATAACAAAAATGGTCAGAAAGAACAAGTGAAAGAAAGAAACAAACAGGAAACTTGTATGTATTGGTAGAAGTGAACCTTCTTACATTAGACCCTTCACTCTTGAGGACTCAACAGTGTAACTGTAAGGAAACTCACTGTTCCTCACAAGAGAATTCTAATCACCCTTAGTTCACTCAACTACTGACTGGGATAACCTAGTACTCAAGCGAGGGGTCAGGGGAAAAGAATCCCCTTTACCCAGCAGTTAATACTGTCTTTTATAGGGGTATACATGTGTAGATACATGAGGAGAAAGTGTAACTAACTACAATGAGAATATATGTGCTTGTGGGTCCTACTGTGCAATGATCTGACACAATCAGTAATGTAGTAATAGTAAAATACAAACCAGTAAATCAAATCCTTACACTTGCCCTCTAGCATTTAGTCCTAAATGCTAAAAATTAGTAGAAAGGCAGAAAACTTACTTAAAAGTAACAGTTAGTAACAAGTAAATAATAAAATACCTTGCCCATACATATGGGAAACATCCTCACAATGTAGTACTGCCTCTCTGAACTGATCTGAAGTCAATCTGGTGTGTATTGAGACAGTGGTGGCGTTCTGGACAGTGGGTAGCATGGTTCCAAACCATGTGAAACTAGATAAAACATCAATAGAATTAAACATAGTCAATATTACTGTATAGTCAATTAGTAGGAAATTTGCCTCTTGATTGTCACTATCAATACAACACTTTTTGAAGAGAATCAGTAGAGTTCCTGGGGAGATATAGTGTTTTGGCTCTTGAGTATTCTGAGACACACAGTGTAGATCAATATGTACAGAAGTGGAAATTCTGGCAGCATGGTAATTGCAAATATTCTCTTCTCCCACGTCTTTGGGAAGTGTGGAGGTAAATCCCTGATCAACAAAGCTATAGCCTTCTTCCTTAATAGAATGGATTAGTGTTGTGGCTTCTAGCTGACCTTGCATGTTTCTCTACTTCTGTAGAATAGTCATACAATAATAGGTAGTAGAGATGTATTCCAAAATTCCTCTGCTATGTCCTTGATTTTTCCAATAGACTAGTTCCTGCAAATGTAGTGCCTTGTACTCATATTGGTCCAAATGTGTACTCTTTTGTGTGTAATAACCAACTGTGATGCAAAACTGGATATCCTGTTGAGCCTGATGTCTGAATACTAATTGTAGAGTGCAACCTAGAGTGTAATGTTTGTCTTCAAATGAGAATATTGTCTTGAATTCAATGAGATTGTGAGGTATGAGCCTAATATCACTAGATATGTGTGTATATGCACAGTATCTCTGTGTGTGATGAATGTCCTACTGTATTCTCATACTGTTTCCTTTTGTCTCAACTTGTTTGTGTCTTTATAAGTTGATTGATTCAATTCCTGAATTGTCTGAGTATACTTTCAATGTCTCATAGTGTAATGTTCTATCACACTGTGTCCAAGTAGCATTCTCTACTTTCCTGAATGCTGTAACTGTCTGTATACTGTATTGTTCCATGTATGTCTCAATGAAATGTCCTGTCTGTATGCACAGTAGTGCTGCCTGAAGTCCTGAGTGTATGCTGCCAATTCTCTGTTCATTTGGCAAATCCATGTGTGGATCAATATGTTCTAGCATTGACTTCCTGTCTTTCTGTGTACTTGTCCTTGTACTAATGTATTCTTTCCTTGTGTACCTATCATGTGTCCTGTTTCCTGTAGTACTGATACTGTCTGGTACTGTAAAGTCCTTTGCAAAATTGTTCTGTAGCAATCCATGTAAGAGAAATGTATGTTCAAACATGATTGTATGCTCAAAGAGTATGTATACAATGTAATGTATGTGCCTCTTGCCCTCTTGTTGAAATATAACTTTATTTTCGGTATAAAACGTCTAGTACTGTCCTAGAACATGTCTATAGTGTCTGGAGAGGTCTTCTACATGATTTTGTACTTCAAACTGATTGTAACTATTCATTCCTAGAGTAGATTGGACTGTATCATCATTCAATAGATGTTCTAGAGCTTTCTAATACTCTATTTCCTTCTGTAGCATTGAAGTATCATGCCTGAATGCTTGAATAGTCTGTTCAATCATTACTAATTCACTATTGCTCTAATATTTGCTAGCTGTATGTGTATTGCCTTTGCTTTCCCTTGAAGTGGTGTGATAATCCGTTTGAGCAGATTGAGTGGATTGAGCAGATTGTCTGGGTTCTAAACCTGTTCTCTGGCTTGAAGTCACCCTCTGAACTTCTGTACTTTGTTCCATACAATGTGTATCTGTTCCTGATCTTAATAGTGTCTTACTATCATTATGTTGTATAGATTGTAGTGGTTTTACATCCTGTAGATTGTAATTGTCATCCTGTAGCTTGAATATCTTGATTCTTACTATGTATCCTGAGTATATGTGTGCTAGTGTATCCATTTGAGTGCCTGTGATGTTCATAATACATCTGATAGAGTGTCCTGAGTCTATTCCAATGAATCCTGACTGTCTGAAGGTGTATTTTACAATGTAATACTTTATGTTCTCCTGAAACTGTGTTCTATACAATATATCCTTGTGTTCTGAACTGGTTTTAGTGTTTTCCAACAGTTCTTCACTGTAAACTGAGTAGTTCTGTAGCATAACATCCAATTGTACCTTATAGAACGTTTGTTCTATGCAAAGTTCCTCGATTGTGCTCTGTACTGACTGTTTCTTCAATCCTGACTATGGAAATGTGTGTTCCAATGTCAACTGACGTAGTTCCTTTGTAGTACTCAATACTAATCCTGTATCTCTTCCTGTACTGAATAGAATCGACTGTGTATGCATATGTCTGTGTCTTTCTATTACTGTCAATATATTTCCATGCCTGATGCTTATTCTGAAGCAGTATCATTGTATTCTTGATGTATATACACTTTGCCTTACTCAATGTGCTGATGTCTGCCTTTCAATGCATAATGTAGCCTTCTAA